TTGGTATTAGAGCTCTTAGGTTTGAATATTTTGGGACGACGGGTTTTGGGTATATATCACTTTTTATTGCTATGTTTTACTTGTTTATATACTATTTGTTCACATGTTTTGGTATTATAACATGTTTACATGCTTCTTGATAGCATGCTTTGTTTAATAATCTATCTACGTGCTTATGAGTTTGGAAGCTTCTAAACGCTTCCCTTTGGTTGCGTAAACATGATGGTATGCGCCATACGTCTTCTTGCCTTTGGTTTTCTTTCACATATGCTGTCATGTTATGTGTTATGTGCCTCTTGTTAACATGTTTGATGTGAATTCATGTTTAAGTGCTTATGTGGCAATTTGTTTAGAAGCTTAGCTTATTCGTTTTAGTATGTTGTATATGCTTATTTGTTTTACCATAACTGTATGTTGCATACACTGATGTGTTACTTGTTTCGTACATTCATGGCGTGAGTTGCATTCGGTCATGACGACTTGCATTGTTGTTGACCTCTTTTCTTTCATACATTTAACGTCATGGTCTTGACTCATGGAAAGTCTTCTCGTCAGGGCTCAGGTGAGCACAGAGTTGCAGTCTTTGTCTGGTGGAATTAGACGTGGGCCGTGGAGGCACCGTTTCATCCCCTTTTCCTTCATGGTTTCATGACATGGTCATAGGGTGTCAGAGGTGTTGGGATCATCTCTTGGTGTTAGGAGGTTGCTTGTGGGCCTCAACAACGCCATTATTGTGAAAGAAGTCCTTTTCCCATTATTGACCCCTGCATCCTTGACAATGCCATATTGCAGATTTCTTTCAATAAAGTTGTTAAAAAATATAATTTGTAATTCCTTTGGTAAATATTCAGATGAGTACTTGAGACCATGGTTCAGCAAACCAGCCAATTCACAATGCTTTTTAAAGCTGCTGATACCGATACTCACCGGTATACCGGTGAGTGCCATTGTGCCAGTTCATAGAGAACTGACCGCTTCTCTTTGCAAAAAGGCTGTTACGACCAAAAACCAGCCGGTTCTGGCCATTTATTAAAAAGTGAATTTTGCTACTTAAAAGGCCTGATTGGCCTATCCCCATTACACCAGGTATTTGCTGGCCTACCCAAATAAATCTTTAGAGTGCCTCCTGATCCTTTTATACTACTTTTTGGCTGCTTACTCTTCTAACAATACCTGCTGTGGGACATAAGAAAGTCTATTGTGCCCTTTAAAACCTCATTTATGTAGTATTTAAAAACTGATCCCTGCCATTTGATAGCACATACCACATTGTACAAAGCTTTAATAGATTCTCTCAAGTTGTAATGGACTTGTCATCATTTATAATCCTCAAAACTATATTATTATGAGTCCAATACACATAATAATAGATTGAGCAGCTCATGGTCTGATCATATGCTTTCTCCAGCAACCAACAAAGCTTGAGGATTACAATTCTTAGAACATTAATTTTACATGCAGACAAAATCATTTACTTTTTGTATTTTATTAAAAGTGTAAAGTGGCAAAAACCAACCTGCTATATAAAAAATGTGGAAAAAACATCCTGCTATTTAGTATGTGCATATAAATCCCAAACATTTGAAAATAGGTGCAAATTGCCCTTAATATATGTTGACCTTCAATTTTGACCTTTTTTTTTAATTTTTTTTTTTAAAATCCCAAAATACCTTTAATATACTCTAAAAAATTGAAATTAGTGTTTTTATTTTATTTTATTGTCTTAATTGCATTTTAGGTATTTTCGTATTTCCACATTCGGTGTATAACAAGATTTATTAATTTATTTTTACAATTTTTATGTTTTAAAATTCTCATTTGTTATCTATGGTATCAATTTTCATTTATTCCATAATTGAGTTTTATTTTTATTCATTAATTTGGAAAGAAGTGTAATTATAAAGCCTTTTTAATAATGACTTTTGACTTAAAATTCATGAATAGGCTATTATTTGTGGTAGATGATCTTAACAAAATCAATAAAAATTTACTAAAACTCCATCTTTATTGAAATATGTTACGTATCAATGCATTTTAGACCTTATGTGCAAGGTCAAAAAAATTCACGACAGTGAGAACTGATTCTGTTACGTAACGCTGATACAAGCCCGATTCCATTGCTCCGCGACCGCGACCACGACTAATACCATAACTATGAACCTTGCTTGAAACTTTTATGAGTTTCCAGAACTTGGGTGTGCGCCTAAAGTATCTATAAAATAAATAAATACCTCTATCCTAGAGGATCTCATGCTTTATTTTTATCATTATATTGAGACTGGTTGAATTTCCTACAAGTAAGAAATGTAATACATGAAATTTTGGCTAAAATTTTTCAGATTGAGAGTATCTGATACTTTTTATGATGTCCCTGAACTTATGGTGTGTACCTAAATAATCTATACAACAAATAACTAACTATATCTGGAAGGATGTCATCCTTTTCCTTTTCTACTATAATATGCAAAAGACTTGCTGATTTAGTCAAAGCAAAAGTTATTCCTGGAGAGATTGCTTATTTTTTTAATTCAAGTTTTAAAACTTTCTGATTTTGTTAACATTGAAATTGTGTCACACTACCACTGTACCACTAGTTAAGTTATCTAACAAAATTGTTGGTTGATGATGTTCGGCTCCTAAAAACTGAGGTTCCACTTTCCAAGTGAGTGGAAAGTAGGAGTGGATGTCAAGAGTGCTAGGAGCTGCTGTCGTTCCAAAGTGAGTATCCGAACAACTATCCAGTAGGAGATTGCAAGGATCAGGCAATTGTATGAATGACTGGAATTACCACCTTCAAAGGTTCTTTTTGCCTTAAAAAATGACTTTTGGATTGAACTATGGCTAGTGGAAAGAAAAATGGTATTGAAAGTACAGGATTTCAAATTAAAGTGCTAGAAAGTAAGAATAATAAGTGCAGGACTTGAATTAAACATAGTGAAAGTGCATTACATGAATGTAAAGAAATTGAAGTGCTATTAGGCTGTGTGATTTGAATAGGGTTTGCAAACTAGCTCTAAGTGCTCTATTTATAGAGTTTTCCATGCATGTAGCAGCTTGATGTGGCAACTCCAGTGATTTTCACGTGGCCAGATTTTGGACTGCCAAGTGACCCATGATCTCTTGGCTGTTTTAACTTCTTCATTCCATCTTCTCCATCCTCTGTTGAAGACTTTAGCCATGTATATATCTTTTAAGCATGATAACAAAACACGTTCTTTATAATTCCTATATTTATGTATACCCCTGAAGTTAAATTTCCAATTGTGCTTTTAATAAATTAACATCTGTCCCACTATTTCTCATTCTCTTTATCTTGCCGTATATATTTTCCCCTTCAGACACGATTTCATTAGCCTCACCATCCATGATTTACGACAACTTTTCTTTAGTTAGTGGGAGCAGTTGCATGAAATACCACCACCTTCAACTATCGTATCCTTATTTAGCCAAGTGTCTCACGATTTTAAAAGTCTTTCTTTTGCAGAAGTTCCATTGTTATACAACCATACATATATATATATATATATATATATATATATCATGTATACACATAGAAGTTATTTGTAGACCCATGTTGCCCTTCTCTTTAGTTACCTCTCTCTATTGAACTTTCCAGTTTAACCTTGGGTTTCATGGCATCGTGGCCCCTTCTTCCTAGAGACTTCTTCATCATGGACTAATATCTGACATAAATATATATGTATAAATATATTTATACATATAGATCATCCCACGCCCCTTCTTTTTTGTAAACCACACCTCCTTCATTTTAGGTATCCTTCTTTGGCTGAGCTTTCCATCCTGGCTTCATGGAATTTTACATCGTGGGTTATGTCATCGTGGGCTGAATCTAACACATAAATATATTTTCACATATATATTTATAGAAACAAATTAAACTCATACGTCTCCTTCTTTTGAGCAATATTGTTTGACTTCGCTAAACAATCATTGAAGTCTCTTAAAAATAAGGAGAGAATTAACCCCACGTTCTCCTTCTTTTGGCTAAACCAACTTTGGTTTTACCATATTTAGTAAGATAACAATCCCTTAAAAGAATTGATCCACAGCAGTAACCACCATAGTATCTCAGTAGAACTCACCATATGTAGTAAAACTCATTCCATATAGGAAGATGTGGGCCCTTGTTTTAAAGATGGCAAGTCCTATTAGGACTCACCTCTTTTCTTTTTTAAAATAGAAAACACTACATGGTAGGATTGTACTGGCCCACTTGTCTTTGATTTCAATTACTACATAATATTATAGAGCTTCCAATAATAACTTATTAGAGTTGCGATCCAGCATGGTAAGTTCCATTGGAACTTGCCGCATGTCACCTTTCCATTGGTCCAAAAAATAATGGAGTAAACATATGCCCCCAAAATTCCATGCCTTGTGGAACAATTTGATGATAAGGCTTGGGATTTGAATTCTGCCATCATGAAGAAGAAGAAAAAGAAATTAAAGAAGAAGAAAAAGAAATTGAATAAGAAGGAGAGGATGTTTTATATAAAGCAAAGGGATAAGAAAAAGTTTCTGAAGTATTTTCAATATGGTTAGACTTAACTTGGAATTGTTTACATGGAAATGCATATATATACAAGCAACATGAGTAATTTCCAGTCTGAATAGAACTTGGACCATATAATGTAGCCTCTTCTCAATGAAATGCTCCATACTTAGGAAATCAGCTGATCTTGGAAATTCAACTAAGTCTGCTTCATAACTTTAGCCAATGTACTTTTCCAAGTACTTAGTTTTTCCTTCTTGGAATGGCCGAAGTATGGTCATTATGCTTCCTTTCTAGTTTTCATAGATAGAAAGGTGATACTCTTTCAAGTATACCCCATTCAAAGGATACTTATGGGATTCTCCATCTATGTCCATTAATCTATAAGCCCCATTCCAAGGACTCATTCCACCAAGTAAGAACCCTTCTAATTAGGGGTTCACTTTCCATATTCCTTGTCTTTAACTCTTGGTGGAAATCTAACTTGCTATACCAGGTCTCCTTCAACAAATGTCTTTGCCTTAACCTTCTTATTGTATGGCAGCATGACTTTCTTCTTTTGAATAATAATATGGTCCAAGGCATTAAGACATACTTCATCAAGGTCCTCCAATTCCACCAACATGGCATGGTTGTAATCTACTGGAGTCAAGTCATTTTGGAAAGCTACTCTTGCAGACCTTATGGTCATTTCCATTGGAAGAACGGCATCATGTCCATATATAAGCATATACAGCGTGACACCAGTACTTGATCTTTTTGAATTTCTGTAAGCCCAAAGAGCATTAGAAAGTAAGTGATGCCATTCCCTTGGATGATTCTCAATCATCTTTTCAAGGATATTGGGAATTACTTTGTTGGAAGCCTCAGCCTGTCCATTTGATTGGGCAAAATATGGAGTGGAACTACACTCAGCACAATAATCAAGAACTTTATTTCCAATAAAGGAAAGTCCTCTGTTAGTGGTGGTAGTCTCTGGAATTCCAAACCTATGAATAATGTGCTTCTTAATAAAATCAATCATTGTTGGTTGCTCACAAGTTTTTAATGGAATAGCCTCCACCCATTTTGTAAAGTAGTCTGTTGCTACCACAATATGAGTATGGCCATCTACAGATGGTGCTGTTAACTTTCCAATAAAGTCCAAAGCGCACCCTCTGAATGGCCATATTTTTACTACCGGCTGCATGTTGATAGCTAGAACTCTTTGGACCGGGCCATGCTCCTGACATACAGTACAAGTCTTTATAAACTCTTTACAATCCTTTAGTATACCCTTCCAATAATAACCGTACCTTTTCAAAAGCCACCTCATTTTGATTCCACCTTAATGTGCTCCGCATATTCCAAGGTGTGATATCGCCATCACTCTCATGGACTCATTCTTACCTAAACATCTTTGCAAAAGTCCATCTTCTTAGCTCTTTCTGTAAAGATCTCCATCAATCAAAATATAATAAGGTGCCAAAAATTGAATTCTTTTGTCCACATTAGCACTAGGCTCCTGCAAGAAATGGATAATTGGTGTTCTCTAATCTTCTAAGTCTAATCCATCTATATCAACATTGAAAATCTCCCATGTCTTCTTAGCAAGTTTGATTCTTTCTAGCTCGTCAGCTTGGAAATGACCTGCCATCTCAAGCCGTGACTCTATAGAAGGGAGAGTCCTTCTTTTGATTGTGATCAATGTCTCTTCTACACATAGTGGGACTTTTACTTGAGAGGCTAGTTGTGCTAGATCATCAGCCTCTGTGTTCAAATGTCTTGGCCAATAGTTGAGTTGGAAATCATCAAACTGGCAAAGTAATTCCAAGGCCAAAGAGTGGAAAGGCCTCAAATGCCAATTGAGACATCTATATTCTTCAGAAAGTTGGCTAAGTATCAAGTTGGAATCTTCAATAATCTGGACCCTATCCACCTTTAGCTCTAGCAGGATTTCCAGCCCAATAATTAGTGCCTCATACTCAGCTTGGTTATTTATACACTTGAAATCCAAGAAGAAAGAAAATGTAATTTTCCTTCCTTTTAGTGAAATAATGACTATTCCAGCTCCTCCTCCATCATGAGTGCTTGACCCATCAAATATGAGAGTCTAAGGTGTATAATCAAGGTAGAGATTATCCACCTCGTCACATACTTCTGAATCTATCTTGGTAGAAAGGTGATCTGCTAGAAATTCTGCCATCGCCCTTCCTTTAACTTCCTTTTGTGGAATGCACTTGAAAGAAAACTTTATTAAGGCCAATGACCACTTTCCTATATGTCCAGTGATCAAAGGCCTTGAAAGCATATACTTAATCAAATCTGTTTAAGAAATGATATACACGGCTACTGTCAACATGTAGGTTCTCAATTTTATAGCCGCATAATATAAGGAAAGACACAATTTTTCAATGGAAGTGTACCTACTTTCCACTGGAGTGAGCACCCTACTTAGATAATAGATGGCTTGCTCCTTTTCCTATTCATTGTTCTGGGCTAAAAGGGTTCCAATTGACTCATCAGTGGCCGATAAGTACAATCTTAAAGGCCGCTTCTTGATTAAAGGCATCATATCTGGAGGGTTGGCCAAATAGCTTTTCAAACCTTTAAAGGCTTGCTAGTGCTGTTCCGTCCACTTGAATTCCTCAGCACCTTTCAATTTCAATAATGGGGAGAAAGCATGAGTCTTTCCAGCATGGTTGGCAATGAATCTCCTCAAATATCCAACCTGGCCAAGAAATCTTTGTAGTTCTTTCTTAGTGGCCGGTGGCTTTGTTTCAATAATTGCCTTTGCTTTATTTTGGTCTATTTCAATACCTCTTTGATGGACTAAGAAACCCAGGAAGTTTCTAGCTGAAACCTCAAAGACACACTTTAAGGAGTTCATCTTCAACTTGTGCTGCCTCATCCTTTCAAAAGCTATCTTCAAATTATGGAGATGTTGAACTTTAGCTGAGGATTTGATGACTACATCATCAATGTAAACTTCCAAGAAATGGCCGATCATGTCATGGAAAATGGCATTCATGGCCCTTTGATATGTTGCTCCAGCATTCTTCAACCTAAATGGCATGAACCCATTCAAAGGTTTCAATGGATCTTAAACATCTAAAGGTTGTCTTAGTAATATCTTCCTCCGCAATATAAATCCAGTTGTACCCAGAATATCCATCTATTAATGAAAGAATTTCATTCTTAGCGACAGAATCTACTAACTGGTCAGTAACAAGCATGGGGTATTCATCTTTTGGAGTTGCAAGATTAATATTCCAGAAATCCGCATATACCCTTAGCTTGCCATTTTTCTTAATAACTGGAACTATATTGGAAATCTAGTCAATATACATAGCGGTTCTTATAAAACCAGCCTTGTGTAGCCTTTCTATCTCTTCTTTGACCTTTAGAACAACTTCTTGGGACACCCTTCTTGGAGGCTGCTTGAAAGGCTTGAAACCTTCCTTGATTGGCAGCTTATGCTCTACCAGCTCTCTAGAAAGTCCTGGCATTTCCTCATATGTCCATGCAAAGCAATCTTTGTATTCTTCAAGTAAGGAAATTAATTCTTCTCTAAAGGTTGGTTCCAAAAGCTTGATGTAGGTAGGCCAAGGGTCTTGCTCCACTCCAAGACTAACTTCCAAAAGAGGATCTTATACTTTGGCCTTGAGATTGTCTAACTTCATTGGTGCTAATGTGTCTATTTTTCTCTCGCAATCGTACGATATCGTGTAGGATATAGCTCTATGCAAAGAGGATGTCAAACCCATAAGGAGAAAAGATTTGTATTCCAGTTTTTAACTTCGTTTATGGTTTACAAGTAACTTGGTTGGAAAGTGTGTTGGTTGTCACGTTTTAACAAACTAGAATTAAAACAAAATATTAAATTGTTAAACTAAATTAAATAATCAGAGAGAGAGTGTCTTAGGGTTTTGATTTCACCACAACCATCATATTATGGTTAATTATACTAACTCTGGGAATTTAACTATGATATTTTCCAAAAGAATTGAACTCAATAACATTCGTTCAATTCGGAGTTAAAGAAACATGTTTTACAAGATTAGCTAACTATAACCTATCTGCGGTTAGCGTGGACTATTCACCTACCTACTTTACCTGCTTTAACTACTTTGCGAATGAACCACCTTTCCTAAGCATAGATTATGAAAATGTTCTTTTGTAAAATACATTGGAATACCATTATATGACCTCTATTCTTGTGTCCGGCAGGGCTCCGCCAGATACCATACAACAAGGTAGGTTGAGAATAGAAAATAGACTATTACATCTAAGACAATGTAGTAATAGTTTATAATCTATTAAAGCATGAAAAATCCACTTGAGTTGTCGCAAGTGCTTATAGTCATATAATCAAGAAAACATCATATATTAAAGTAAAACCCAGAGTTGAAACAATCAAACCATAATACAAAGTTGGGTTACATCAGTGCCCTAAGAAAGGATTTAGCTACTCATGACAAGGTTGGATATCATCGATGTTGAGTTCATCTCCATCGTCACAGACGACACCTTTCTTCTCAGGATCTTCACTTCTAAGGTTGTAGAAACCCTAAAAACCACCACAGCTTCAGCCTTCTGAATAATCACCGTAAAAGAGATTGAAACTTTGGACCCCTTCTATCAAGACTTATGCCTTCTTTTATAGAAGAAACTATGTATTTGATGGGTTTTTAAGTCTTCTGGCCCAATTGGGATGAGATACGGCTGGTAAAGAGAGTAATCCCATAGCTTTTAGTCTGACGTGTCATGCAATACTTGAGCTTCAGGAATGGATGCTCGAGCTTTAGGGTTCATGCTCGAGCTTCAGGAACAAATGCTCGAGCTTCTCTGGATAGTGCTCGAGCATCAGTGAATGGTGCTTGATCATCACATTGACACTTAGCCAATTTTCTTCAATTATTTTTCAAAGTGTCTTTTTCTTCAACATTTAGAATATTTTTGGGGTTGAACTCCTTTAACATTGCTCGATCCAAGCTTCATGGGCTCGAGCACTAGGTACCATGCTTGAGCATTAGGGGCTCACTGCTCGAGCATCAATGGATGATGCTCAATCCTCTGTGGATAGTGCTCGATCATGAGGGTAATGCACGAGACCTGGAGCATAACATTTTCATTTAAAATTAACTCATTAATTTCTGATGCCTCAAGCTCGAGCTTCAGGGTCAAGGCTCGAGTACCTTTAGTTAATGCTCGAGCACCTTTGCAGTAAGGCTTGAGTATCTTTGCAATAAGGCTCAAGCATCAAGGTACTGATGCTGGAGTATTTAGCCTTGTTGACTTTTCTTCTTTTCTTTGTTGTAATGCTCTAACCTCAACACTTGGGCTCGAGCTCTAAGGCTTCAATTACTTCAAACTTCACCAATTTAGCTCTTGGCTTGCTCTGAATGATTGGCAACGACTCTGTAAGCTTTGATATCATCAAAAAGTCCCGGTTTTAACCATCTTTCTGGGAAAGTACCTACAAACATATATTAAACATAAATTAGTCTAACTATGGATAGAAGTATCACTTTAGGCCTTAACTTATACGTACTCGAATATGCATATATTCAGCGCTCATCACACCCCCAAACTTACATATTGCTTGACCCTTAGCAATACAGAACTAAAAAGCCGCTTTCGTAGTAATCACAGTTGCATTTAGCTAATGCAACAAGCCTTCAAACCCCTAGGTTTCCCCTAGTGGACGAATTGTAGTCTCATGAGGGTTTCCAGTGAAGATACCCGCAAACTTCAAATTAGTGCCTTAATTGCATAGCAAGCTCATTCAAGCTTGTTTTTAAGTCATATTATCCCCTACAGTTCATTAATCAGTCAAATACAGCAAGTATACCAATCATGTAATCAAAAAAACTATCAACTTCCAATCTCAATTAAGCAACCATAGTCTCACATATCAGTTCAATCATTTATTCAACAATTTTAATCTCTAAATATACTTTTTGAAAATGATCCTGCAATTCATCGTGTGACTTACTGTCCATATTTGTATTTATTCCTTGTCATTCCTCAATTCATAAGCAGACTCTTCAAATTCCAAGTCCCAAGGCATTTTTATTATTATTTTTTTTAGGGTATGCATTTTCTCAAAAAGGATACTTGTGTAATGTCTAGGTTTATTAAGCTTTCTAAATTACCCTTGTAGCGAACTTTCAGCCAATGACTCCCAGACCAGATGGTTTTAGGGCA